GGAGGAGGAGGGCAGAGGAGAAGGAGGGAGGGGGACGGAGGAGGGGGAGGAGGAGGAGGAGAAGCAAAAGAAAAAGGAGGGCGGTCCTGGGAACAGGTTCGAAGAGCTATATTTAGAGCAAATGCAGCGAGGACAAACATAACAACAACTACAAGTTGGAGGGAGCGGGGGAGGAAGGGAGGGAGAAAAGAAGAGGGTGCGGGAGGGGGAGAGGGAGAGAACGAGAGAGAGAGAGAGAAACCACAACAAGAAGTTGAGGGAGAGGACGAGAGCGAGGGCGAGAGGGAGAGAGGGAGAGAGAAACCCCAAAAAGAGTAGGGAGAGGACGAGAGCGAGGGAGACAGGGAGAGAGGGACAAAGAGAGAGACAGAGAGAGCGACAGAGAGGGAGATGGAGAGGATACACGCATATGTACCTATGTGCACAGAGAGAGAACATAGAGAGAGGGAGGGAGAGAGAGATGAGAGAGAGGGAGAGAAAGGGAGAGGGGGATAGACACACAGAGGACAGTGCGACTGAGAGAGGTAGGAGAAACATATCAAAAGAGAGGAAGGGATGGAGGTGGAGACAGGATAGGACAAGGACAAGCCGGGCGCGCGCGCAGCATCTGAGATCCCACCCATCCCACCCATCCGTTCCCGCTGCGCTACGTCGTTGTTCTATTCGCCAGCGGGGTCCCAGCGGAGGAGGGCGGAGCAGGAGGCGGAGGAGGAGGAGGAGGAGGAGGAGGAGGAGGAGGAGGAGGAGGAGGAGGAGGAGGAGGAGGAGGGAGGAGGAGGAGGAGGAGGAGGAGGAGGAGGGGTTCTAAATGGGGCCCCTCGTGTGAGGCGCAGTCAAAAAAGGAAGTTTTGTGCACTCTGGACGGCGGGCGAGGCCGCGGCGGCGGCGGCCGGGCACGCGGAGCAGCAGGAGGAAGAGAAGGGTCCCTGGCATCGCTCGGACGTGTGCATTTCTCGGGCCGGGGGGAAGGGGGGGATCGGGAAAGGGGGGGTTACGAAATTGCTGCATGCAGCTGGTTTCGGCCCCACCGAGGGGCCCATTCCTCGATACATGGCCGCCTCCGGCGCCGGAGGCGCCGGGAAAATCCGCTACGTGAGCTGATTCTCAAACCCCCCCTTTGCTATCCCCCCCTTTCGCCCGACCCGAATTTCTTTCTCGGCGAGAACCATCGAGGAGCATCCTTGATCATTTGGCGAAAAAAATCCACGCACGAGACCGACCAAAAAAACACAGGGAAGGGACGTCCGAGCCATGGCGAGGGTCGGGTTGACCCATGTCGAGCGAGACGAGCGAGTCAGAGGGCCCCTCCCGGTCCCGCCCTCTGTCTCACGCCGCGAGGATCGACTGCGGCACAGCCTGGCTTCGGGATCGGGGCGCGCTCCCACCTCGCAGAGACGGGAGGCGCTTCCCGCGCTGCCCGGCCCCCGACGGTTTGGCGAGGGGCGCATCACGCGGGCCGCGCAGGGGGCGGGAGCGGCAGCACTTCCGAGGGGCGCGGCGAGGACGAAGCACGCGCCCTCGATCGCAAATCATGGTGATCGTTTTCTGATTCGTCGTTTTGCCGAACGGCGCGGGCCCTCGCACCCCCAGTCCCTTCCCCCTTGAGCAGGCCTTGGCTGTTTTTGACGCCTCCTTCAAGCAGGTGGAGCCTCGCCCCCATACGGGACGCACTGCTGCAAGCAGTCGCACGAAGCAGAGTCTGGAGCCAGAGCCCCCCCTCCCCCCCGTCCGCCCAATGTCGAAATGCCGAATGAGAAAGCGTTCGTACGGGAGCCGCGCGTACCATCCTGATCCCGTCTATAGCGTCGACTGGCGTCAAGTAGCGCTTGGCAGTCGATGGGGCAGCGCCGATTTGGCGTCGATGAGCAGCGAATTTGCGTCGACTGGCGTGGATTGTAGCGCCGACCGGGAAGCGCCAACAAAATGGCACGCTGGGCCGCGATACATGGGGGGGGCGGCGAGGGCGGCAGAAACGGGGCCTGGTGTGGCCCCCATCCAGGAGCCCTTGCGGGAAACGGGACATTTCGGGCTCGAGAAAGGGCCCCTTTCTCTCCCCTCCCATTTACCACCCCCCTGTGAATTCGCGCCCGAGGGTTAAGTCGGGCCTGTCCCCCTACAGGGGGATTTCCGACGAAAAATGAAACATACCCCCAAAAATAATCCAAACATAATCCAAAAGTAGTCTGGGGACTAGTTTTTGAGAATTTTTTTTACCTTTTGGCGGACGCGCGCAGCGGCGGACGCGCCATGCGCCGCCTCCCGTGCGGGGACGCCACCTCCGGCCGAAGTGCGCACGGAGCTGACAGTCGGACCGCGGTCTGGGATCGAGGTCGGTTCGGGGAAGGTAACCGCCAAAGGTCTGCAGTTTTGGTTTCCCCCCCTGTCTCTCGGCGGTGAAGAGGACTGGTCCTAAAATCTCCTCCTCCTCCTCCTCGTCGTTGTTGCGCGGCGGGTGCCGCGGAAAACAAAAAAGTAGCTACCCATATTGGTGGCACCCCAGTCCTTCAATAAGGCCGACGAGGAATCACTAGTCACCCCGTATTTTTTGGGGGGGGGGGGCTGAAGGCTGAAGACTTTTCAGGTTTGCCCTGGAGTTCTTCGTGTCTGCTGGCTGTTCTGGTGCCTCCAGGGGAGGGAACCCTGAGCTGCTCTGTGTGCTTTGGCCGGCAGTGGGTCCCGTGTTCTCGAGGGATGTCTTCTTGGCCAGGGTCCGACCGTAGGCGAGGGAGCGGCACGCCGCCCACTCGCACAGGCCCCTCAGCACTCGACGAGTGACAGCTGTGCCCCGCGTCGAGGCTTATGTCGGGCCTGTCCCCCTACAGGGGGATTTTCGACGAACAATAAAAGATATTCCAAAAATGCACAAAACATAGTCCCCAGACTATTTTTGGATTGTTTTTGGATTATTTTTGGGGTGTTTGTTTTTCTCGTCGAAAATCCCTCTGTAGGGGGACAGGCCCGACTTAAGTCGAGGCCGGAGCGACACCTTCCGACGAAGGATCTGTGCGGCGCCGGGGCGGGAGCGACACTGTCGTCCGCTCGTGCGTGGATGCCTGCGCGCGCGAAGAGCAGTACAGTGCCGTTTTTTATACATGCTCCGCGTGCGGATCATGTATTAAAAATGCAGGGATTTAGTATTTAAAACAGCGATGAGCTCATGCATCAATCAGTTCCTAAATTTATCATGTATTAAACATCTTATGTTTTTAAACATCCCATGTATTAAAAACTGCCCAGTAGGAAACAGCGCCGCGCCGGAGCGGGAGCGCAGTGCTCGAGAGAGCAAGAGGCGCGGCGCCGAGGCGAGGGCGACACGTTGGCCTCTCGCGCTGGATGTGCGCTGCGCCCGGTGGCCACGCCAGGACGGTGCCAGCGGCGGCTACAGGACGCCCATGCTGAGGCAAGCACACCGAGTTCGATCGGGGGTGGACAGACCCCCCTTTAGTAAAACGCGGTTTAGTGAAAGCGACCTCGGGCCCAAACCTGGCGGGCGCAAGCCTGGAAAATGACGGCCGCGGCGCCCTCTGGAGAACCGAAAACGGACAATTCGCTACCCTGACACGTCGATTAGTGAATTGTCCGTTTTCGGTTCTCCAGAGGGCGCCGCGGCCGTCATTTTCCAGGCTTGCGCCCGCCAGGTTTGGGCCCGAGGTCGCTTTCACTAAACCGCGTTTTACTAAAGGGGGGTCTGTCCATCCCCGATTTGACTTGTTCTCTTGGCGGGCAGGCTGGGACATCCCAGATCTGGTTGCCCTCGGCCGTCTGGGTGTCAGAGCGGGAGATGGCGCCATGGTAAGGGGAAAGGGTGAGGCGGGAAGAGGAGGAGCAGCAGGAACAGGAGGAGCAGGAGGAGCAGGAGGACCAGTGGCAGACGAACTAGGGGAGAGGAGTGGGAAGACCACGACGAGGAAGGACTCGGATCCAGAAATGCGTCGCGCGCGAAAGCGAGAGCGCCCGTGTGAACGAAGCGAGCAAAAAGCCGATCCCGAAACGAGGCCGCCGCTGTAGTGGGAACACCGTCTTGACTGGAAAAATACAAACCAACCAACACACAAACAAACGAACACATACGGATCGAATGGATCTCCCAGGCCCCGACTCCGGGCCAACGTAGGCGGCCGGAGGGAAGACATAGACCAGGCGCGCATCTGGTTGAGGCGGTGCGAAGATTCGGCGACCTAGTTCCATGTAGGTTCCCGGCATCGTGTTCAGGGGATCCTGGGGGTCTTCGTGGTTTCATTGAGGTTTCCTGCGCTTCTTGGACCCTCCTGGGACGAATGGTGGGAATAAGTGGAGGCAGTAGGCAGGAGAGAGGATGGGGGAGGGGCGTACGGACGGGGGGTGGGGTTGGGGATGAAGGGAGGAGGTGGGATGAGAGAGGAGGGAGTAAAGAGGGATAGTAGAGGAGGAGGAGAAGGAGGAGGAGGAGGAAGAGGAGGAGCAGGAGGAGAAAGAGGAGGAGGAGAAGAAGGAGCTTGAGCTGGAGCTGGAGCTTGAGCTGGAGCTGGAGTTGGAGGAGGACGAAGAAAAGGGAGAGTAGGAGGATTAGGTGGAAAAACATGAGGGGGGAGCCAGCTGGAGGATGGAGGGACAGAGGACAGAGGGTAACGAGGAGGAGGAGGAGGAGGAGGAGGAGGAGGAGGAGGAGGAGGAGGAGGAGGAGGAGGAGGAGGAGGAGGAGGAGGAGAAGGAGGGAGGAGAGGAGGAGGAGGAGGAGAGAGGGAGGGAAGGAAGGAGGGAGGAGGAGGAGAAGGAGGAGGACAGAGGACAGATGGAACTGAGGAGGGAGGAGGAGGGGGAGGAGGAGGAGGAGGAGGAGGAGGAGGAGGAGGACAGAGGAGGAGGAGGAGGAGGAGGAGGAGGAGGAGGGCGGAGGAGGACCGAGGGAGGCAGGAGGAACATCATGATTATCATACCGAGCAGGAGATGGAGGAGCAGCAGCAGCAGCAGGAGGAGGAGACCGAACGGCCGAACGAGCGCCCCCACCTGTCCGAAGGGAGGGGGCTGGTGGATTCAGTTGACGCGGCTGCAGACGTTCATGCAGCAGCACGCGGGGCAGATCTGCGCGTCGCTGAACTACGACCCCAACGTGGAGATGTTCGCCGGGGAGAGGTCTTACTTCAGATGCTTCAAGGATGGGGCATCCTCCCTCCTTGATTCTTCCGGCTTACGCACATCCGCCGACCCCTTATGAAGAATCGCGCAGTGGTCTGGTCGCCTCTTTGGGTGGTCTGAGGCCCCTGGGCCATTCTGGGGGCATTCTTGGGTTGTCTTGGGGCCCCTTAGGCCGTCCTGTGGCAGTATTGGGCTGTCTTGGGGCTCTCTTGGGCTGTCATCGGCCTCTCTTGGGCTGTCATGGGGCGCTCTGGGCGTTCTTTTCGGCCGTCTTGGCCGTCGCCATCTGTTGCCGAGGACTGTGGTATGCCCTTGGTGACCTCAGAACTGCTTTGCGGTGTCTTTTGGAACCGTCAGGGGCGGCCGTGGGGTGACCTTCAATCGTTTCCGGCCATTGTGAAGCTATCTTGGCCCTTCCTGACCTTAAGCGGAACCGTCTCGGCGTCCTCAGAGGCTGTTCTGGCGCGCCATGAACCTCTCGGGGGCCGTCCTGGAGCTCTCGCGGGTCGTCCCGTCGCCTGGTGGACCCTCTTGGCGCGACCTGGGTGCGATCTGGGGGACTTCGGGGTCAGGTGGATCCGGTGGGGCCTTCGGCCAGGGCCCGAGGGCGGGAAATCACGGACGCGAGGCATCTGACAGCAGACCAAACCAAGCACTTTTATCAGACGGGCGCAGCCCATAGGCCAGTGACATGTCGCGATTGCGACGCGCATCACAAACGCTCGCGGGTGTTCAGGTGTTCCGCGTGCCCGACAGAAGCAGATGGAAGAGGCCGGGAGTTCACGGACAGGACGCATCTGACAGATAAGCAAGTGGAGCACTTTCTCGCGAAGGGTTCGGACCATCGCCCAGTCATGTGCCGCGCGTGCCAGGAAGAACGCAATCAGTCGCGAGTGCTCACGTGCTCCGCGTGCCCGAAAGAAGCAGATGGGAAAGAGCGAGAATTCACGGACAGGACGCATCTGACAGATAAGCAAGTGAACGCCTTCTTCAAGAAGGGTTCGGCCCATCGCTCGGTGGTGTGCCGAGCGTGCCACGGGCAAAGGCAGATGGCGAAGTTTCGACAGACCAGAAGAAGAATTATTTCCACCGAGGCAATCTGGTGGTTTGCGCCAAGTGCTATAAGGCGGGACGGGCGCCTCGAAGAGACCCGCCGAAACGCCCTGCGGAAGCAAGTGACGAGCGCGGCGGGGAGCAACGAAAGTTGCGAGGAATTTGACCGCGAGTCGCGCGCGCGCGCGCCGTCTTCGGGGCTCTCTTGGGCCGTCCTCGGCCCCTTTTGACCCGTTTTGGCGCCCTCTTGGGCTGTCGCGGGGCCCTCGTGGAGGTTTCTTGGCCCGTCTTGGTGCGGCCTTGGGGGGCCCCGGGGCCGCCCAGGTGCGGGGAACGCACCAAAAGGCGCGCGTGCGAGAAAAAAAAAAAACGTTTTACGAAGGGAACGGGCGTTTTTGTGCATCTAGAGGCCCTCTTGTGGCGCATCGTGGATGCCTCTTGGGGCGTCTTGGGGGCCTCTGTAGCCGTCTGGAGGTCGTCGTCAGCGTTTTTGCTCGCTCTTGGACCGTCGGCGACCATGTGGAGCTCTCTTCGAGGCTACTCGGGGCGCTCCTGGAGCGCTTTCGGGGCCGTTTTCTGAGCCCTTTTGGGCCGTCTTGGACGTCTGTTGGCCCGTCCTGGGGCCCTCTAGGGCTATATGGGGAACCCTCTTGGAGGCGTCTTGGGCCGTCTGGGAGCGGGTTCGGGGGGCTCTGGGGCCGTCCAGGAGCGGGGGACACCCCAAAAGGCGCACGTGTAAAACATACGTTTTACGAAGGGAACGGGCGATTTTTTTGCGTCTAGAGGGCCTCTCGGGGCGAATCTTGGATGCCTCTTGGGCCGTCTTGGGGGCCTGTTGAGCCGTCGGGAGGCCGTCGTCGATGTTTGTGATCGCTCTTGGACCGTCTGGGACCGTGTGGAGCTTTGTGGAGGCCACTCGGAACGCTCCTGGAGCGCTCTTGGGGCCGTTTTCGGAGCCCTCTTGGGCCTGTTGGCCCGTCTTGGAGCCCTCTAGGGGTATGTGGGGCACCCTCTGCGAGGCTCCTGGGGCCGTCTGGGAGCGGGTTCGGGGGCCTCTTGGGCCGTCGGAACATCGGAAAGGCCCAAAGCCGAATTTGTGAAAAATGTGCGTTTCACGAAGGGAATGGGTCAATTTTTGCATCTAGAGACCCTCGTGGAACGCATCTCGGAGGCCCTCGGGGGGGCTCGTGGGGGCCTCTTCTGCCGTCGAGGACGCCTCGTGGCCCTTCTTTGGGCCACCTTGGGCGGCTTGGAGCGCTCGTTGGGCGTCCCAGAGCCATGTCGAGGCCACCAGAGGAGTCCCTACACGATTTTCACGAGGTTGTGCACGATTTTCGGGAGCGGATGACCCCTCCGTTCCCATCCGGGGGATCCGGCCCGACCCCCCCCCCACCTCCGTTCCCATCCGGGGGATCCGGCCCGACCCCCCCCCCCCCTCCAAATCGACCGGACCGGGCTCACGGGGGAGGGGTTTGGGGAGGGGGAACATCTCACACGCCGATGAACCCCAAGGGGTCGGCGGACTTGTGTCCCCTTTCACCCTCCTCCTTCCCCCCTGGCCTCCTCCCCTCCTGAGCTCCCTCCTCCCTCCTCCTCTTCCTCATCCTCCTCCTCCGTCGGTCCCCCGTCGGCCCTGCTTTGGGTCCCCTGGCCCGTTCGCAGCTCTCGCCTCGTCGGTGGCCCTCGTGAATCCCACATTGTGGGCTTTTGTAAGCAGGTGTTTCACTGGCATTCGCCTCAGCTGACAACAGACAATGGCTCGCAACGGTCATTCATTCATTCATTCATTCATTCATTCATTCATTCATTCATTCATTCATTCATTCATTCATTCATTCATTCATTCATTCATTCATTCATTGATTCCTACTCCTCCCGTGACGGAGCTCAGGCGGAGGTGGGAGGAGCTTCGATCCAGCTTGGTTCGGTCTCCTGCTACTCCTCCTTCTTCTCTTCCTCCTCCTCCTCGTCCTCCTGCTCCTCCTCCTCCTCCTGCTCCTCCTGCTCCTCCTCCGCTTCCCCCTCCTCCTCCTCCTCCTCCTCCTCCTCCTCCTCTTCCTCCTCCTCCTCCTCCTCCTCCTCCTCCTCCCCCTCCTCCTCCTCCTCCTCCCCCTCGTTCGTGATCCTCTCGGGCAGAGGGCCACCCCTCCAGAGCGCAATGGCGACGACGGCGGCGGCCACTCCGCAGGAGAAGCGCGAGCTGGCCCTGTTGATGCACGGTGCCCTGTCCTCCAGCACGGGTCTGCGCAGGAGGGCCCTTTGGTCGCCGTCGTCGCCCGTCGTACATGCCCAGCGAGGAGGAAGAGGGGGACGGCCACCCCCGACGAGGAGGGGGAGGAGGAGGGGGAGGAGGAGGCGGAGGAGGAGGAGGAGGAGGAGGAGGCGGCGGAGGAGGAGGAGGAGGAGGAGGGGGAGGAGGAGGAGGAAAAGCAGGAGGAGGAGGAGGAGGAGGAGGAGGTTGGAGAAGTGCAGGCGGAGGTGTCTCGTCGCTGTCGGCCTCCCCGGGGCCCCCCGCCCGGCCCAAGGGCCGTCCCAAAAAGGGTCCCAGGCGAGAAGCCGGCCCCCCGGGGAGTGTCCAGAGCTCCGGGGGTGCCCTCGGAGGTCTGGGTCGTCGCCGTCCGTCGTCGTTTGTCGTCGTCGCCCTCGCCGTGGTCCTCGCAGTCGTCGTCGTCCTCCTCTGCCCGCAAGTATCCATCCCCCTGGTCTTCGTGCTTGTCTGTCCTGCGAGTCTTTGCGCATCTTCGTTGCCCTCCGTCACTGTGCCCTCGAGGAGGATGAGCAGGAGGATCACGGAAGTTCGGGGACACCAGTAGGCAAGCGCACGGAGAGTATGATAACGGGGGGAGCAGGAAGAGGAGGAGCAGCAGAGGAAGAAGAATGTCTCTCCTGTTGGCCCTCCTCCTCCTCCTCCTCCTGCTTCTCCTCCTCCCGTTCTTCCTCTGATGATGGTGATCGATGATGGTGATGATGATGATGATGATGATGATGATGATGATGATGGTGATGATGATGATGATGATGATGACGATGACGATCACGATGGCGATGATGATGATGATGCTGATGATGATGATCATGGTGATGATGCTGATGATGATGATGCTGATGATGATGATGAACATGATGATGATGATGATGACGATGATGATGATGATGATGATGATGATGATGATGGTGGTGATGATGATGATGATGATGATGAAACTGATGATGATGATGATGATGATGATGATGATGATGATGATGATGATGATGATGGTGGTGGTGGTGGTGATGTTGATGATGCTGATGATGCTGATGTTGATGTTGATGATGGTGATGCTGCTGATGTTGATGATGGTGATGCTGGTGATGATGGTGATGATGATGAGGAGGAGGGTAATGATGAGGATGATAACGCTGGCAACGACGACGACGACGTGGCCAGCAGCAGCAGCAGCAGCAGCAGCAGCAGCAGCAGCAGCAGCAGCAGCAGAGGGAGGAAGAGCAGCTGAAGACGACAGCAGGATCAGCCGCGGGACGAGCAAGAGCAGCCACGGCAGCGAAGAGGGCGTCGCGAGGAGCCGCGCGTCTCCGCGGAAGCCTCCAGAGGCCCCCCGGGAGGCGATCTCGGCTCCAGGAGGCTCTGGAGCCCGACGAGGGCCTCTGGCTCGGAGCACTGTCCATCCGTTCGTTCTCTCTGGAAGGAGTCCCTCAAGGCCTCGTCAGCAATGTTTTTCTCGGCGAGGCTCTTCGAGGATCATCCTCGACCATCTGGGCCAAAGAAACGCGCCCGAAACCGAAAGATGGCACGGGGAACGGACGTCCGAGCGATGGCACGTGTCCTGGTCTACGGCCAGTCTGCCGGAGTGAGGCCCAGCTCGAGGCCAGGTGGGGCTCGGGGCTCGCCTGCGTCCGGCGGCCTCTCCGTGGGCGGCGCCGCCCCTTCGGTGCTCCTGAGGCGCTTCGGTGCCCTCGCTCGTCGTTCCTCCTCCTCCTCCTCCTCCTCCTCCTCCTCCTCCTCCTCCTCCTCCTCCTCCTCCTCCGCACAGTCAGGGCGACGAAAGCAGGACCGCTCTGGTTCGGACGGGGCCCGCTGTTCCTTTTGGTAACGTCGTGGCTGTCCGCCTGGCCCTCGTCGTGCACCCGGGCGCTGGCACCGGCCTGCAAGACTTGTGCACAGGGCCCTGGCACCGCGGGCCAGGCTGGTGCCCACAGCCGCGGCAGCCAGCCTGGAGTCTCGGGCCCCTGGCCCAGAAGTCCGAGGCGCCCAGGAGATGGATAGGAATCTGGCCCCTGGAGGCCCGCTGTTTGTCCATGTCCAGTGCGCCTCGGCCTCGTGGGCAGGGGCCACGCCTAAGTCGGGCCTGGCCCTCTGCAGGAGGCCTTTTCAAAAAGGGTCCAACAGCAGCCTTGGAACGAGGCGTCGACTATTTTTGGGGGCATTTCCCTGGTATTTTTACTTGCTCGTCCAGCATCCGCCCGCAGGGGGGCATGCCCGACCGAAGGCCGCGCCCTGGGGACTTCCGGAGCGGGGGGCCCCTGCGACCGTGGGCCGCGGGCCTCCCGGCCACGGCCCCCCCCCGTGGGGCGCGTGGCCGGAGACGCGCCTGCGCTCGGGCGGCCGCGCCGAGAGCAGGCGGAGCGGAGCAAGCGGCGGGGCAGGGCGAAGCCTCCTCTCTGCTAGGGGGCCGCCTGCGAACCCTACCCCTACGCCCCACGATTTCTGGGGGGGAGGGTGGGCTTCGCGTCGCTCGGGAGCTCCCGAACGAAGTGAACCCCACCCTCCCCCTCGGAAATCGTGGGGGGTAGGGGTAGGGTTCGCATGTGGCCCCCTCTCTGCTGTTCGTGTTTTTTCTCTCTGTGTGCGCGCGTGTGAATGACTGTGCGCGTGTGCGCGTGCGCGTGCGCGTGCGCGTGCGCGTGCGCGTGCGTGCGCGTGCGCGTGTGTGCGTGTGCGTGTGTGCGCGTGGGCGCGTGGGCGTGTGTGCGTGTGCGTGTGTGCGTGTGTGCGTGTGTGCGTGTGTGCGTGTGTGCGTGTGCGTGTGTGCGTGTGTGCGTGTGCACGTGCGTGTGCGTGTGTGTGTGTGTGTGTGTGTTTCTTCTACAAGATTCAAGAATGCCTCATTGTGTTTTCAAGGAGGCTCGGAGAAGCCACCGCACTCGACACTGGTATGTTGTGTCCTGCCTGCGTAGTGCCAGGCATGCAGCCCTGTAAGTAAGCGTTGGGTAATCCACGCGTGAAGGCTCCAAAGGGCATGTGTGATCTCGCGAGTCTCTAATCTTTGTAGCGCTTTGGGGTATGCCAGCGTAGCTTGTTCCTGTCTTTCTCTCCTCTGCTCTTGTTCGCTCGCCGTCGTCCTCTCGGCTCCTCTCGTCCTGTGCCCCGCTCGCTCTCCCCTCCTGGTCTGGCCTCGGGACTCCCTCGCCAGACGGCTTGTCTTCGCCCGTGCGTGCATCTCGCATGTACTGTATTTACTGTGCTGCAGCTCCTCTGTGATCAAGCTTCTACACAGAGGGCTTTGGGGCTCGCTCAAGCCTGCACTGAGGCGCAAACACGTGTAGGTCCTCTGTGTAACCAGCGCGCGACATCGAGTAGAAAAGTTGGTGTGGATGGCGATTTGGAGCTTCGCTCCTCCGTGCACTGCCCGTTGGTCTCCGAGAGCTCGAGCAGGTCTCCAACATATCCGAGTTCGGTGCTAACAACTCTTCACAAGTGTGTGTGTGTGTGTGCGTGTGAATGTGTGTGTGTATGTGTGCGTGTGGGCGTGTGGGCGTGTGTGTGTGTGTGTGTTTGTGTGTGTGTGTGTTTTTTTCCCAACCATCCTGTGGTGTTGGGTCCTCGTTTTGAAGAGACAGCGCCCCGCGTTCACTCCTCCCGCTGCCCCTCCCTCCTGCCATCATCATCATCATCATCATCACCATCACCATCATCATCATCATCGTCATCATCATCATCATCATCATCATCATCATCATCATCATCATCATCATCATCATCATCATCATCATCATCATCATCATCATCATCATCATCATCATCATCATCATCATCATCATGTGGCTGCGCTCCCATGCGCCCACCGCACCCATTTCGGCACACCCCTCACACGTTTCGTGGCCCCATAGGGAGCTCCAGCGAAGGCCCCAGTGGCTGCGCTCCCATGCGCCCACCGCACCCATTTCGGCACACCCCTCACACGTTTCGTGGCCCCATAGGGAGCTCCAGCGAAGGCCCCAGTGGCTGCGCTCCCATGCGCCCACCGCACAGATTTCGGCACACCCCTCACACGCTTCGTGGCCCCATAGGGAGCTCCACCGAAGGCCCCAGTGGCTGCGCCCGCATGCGCCCACCGCCCATTCGGCACACCCCTCACACGTTTCGTGGCCCCATAGGGAGCTCCACCGAAGGCCCCAGTGGCTGCGCCCCCATGCGCCCACCGCCCATTTCGGCACACCCCTCACACGCTTCGTGGCCCCATAGGGAGCTCCAGCGAAGGCCCCAGTCTGCGCTCCCATGCGCCCACCGCACCCATTTCGGCACACCCCTCACACGTTTCGTGGCCCCATAGGGAGCTCCAGCGAAGGCCCCAGTGGCTGCGCTCCCATGCGCCCACCGCACCCATTTCGGCACACCCCTCACACGTTTCGTGGCCCCATAGGGAGCTCCAGCGAAGGCCCCAGTGGCTGCGCTCCCATGCGCCCACCGCACCCATTTCGGCACACCCCTCACACGTTCGTGGCCCATAGGGAGCTCCAGCGAAGGCCCCAGTGGCTGCGCTCCCATGCGCCCAGTGGCTGCGCTCCCATGCGCCCACCGCACAGATTTCGGCACACCCCTCACACGTTTCGTGGCCCCATAGGGAGCTCCAGCGAAGGCCCCAGTGGCTGCGCTCCCATGCGCCCACCGCACCCATTTCGGCACACCCCTCATACGTTTCGTGGCCCCATAGGGAGCTCCAGCGAAGGCCCCAGTGGCTGCGCTCCCATGCGCCCGCCGCACAGATTTCGGCACACCCCTCACACGTTTCGTGGCCACCGCACAGATTTCCGCACACCCCTACAGCGCCATCGAAGAAGATATTCACAATTGTGGTACTCGCAACTGCATCTGGTTGGGTCCTTCGCCAGGATAATTTTTGTGTGTGTGGGCTTGTGTGTGATGTGTGCGTGCGTGCGTGCGTGCGTGCGTGCGTGCGTGCGTGCGTGCGTGCGTGCGTGCGTGCGTGTGTGTGTGTGTGTGTGTGGGGCTTGTGTGTGATGTGTGCGTGTGTGCGTGTGGGTGTGTGTGTGTGTGGTGTGCGTGGTGGTTTCGTGTGTGCTGTGCATGCGTGCATGTGCTTGTCCGAGTCCTGGAAAGCCCAAGACGCACCGGATGTGGACACAAATTCTCGCCCGCTGACGCGCCTGGCAGCCCGCCGTCGAGGCGGCGGCCCGCCCTCCGCCCGCCCCTCGCGCGCGCGCGCCCGCCCGCCGCCCGCCAGGGTGGCCGCCGAGGTCGGCCTCCGCGCCGCGGCGGGCTTGCTGCCGCCCCTCGCGGTGTGGGGGCGCCGCCGCGCGAGGCCGGGCGTTGCCGCTGCCGCCGCCGCGCCGCCGTCGTCGGCGCCGCCGTCGCCGCCGTCGCCGCCGCCGCCGCCTCGCCGTCGCCGCCGCCGCCGCCGTCGCCTCGCCGTCGTCGCTGCCGCCGCCGTGGCCTCGCCGTCGTCGTCGCCGCCTCCGTCGCGCCGTCGTCGCCGCCGCCGCCCTCGCGCCGTCGTCGTCGCCGCCGCCGTCGCGGCGTCGACCCGCCGCCACAACACCGTCGTGGGCGCCGCCGCAGTCGTGTGGGGCTCTCCAGAGAGGGCCTCGCCCTCGAGGGTCGCAGGAGAGTTGCCATCGCTTCTTCGGCGGGAGGCAGCAGAAGGGCGGCGGAAGCCCGCGGAGATAAGAGGCGTGCCCCCTGCGGAGCACCCTGCGGGAGCTCCGGGAGGACCAATACTTAATAACTGATCTACCCGCTCAGCGGCGTCAAAATGCTGGGGATCGAAGAGCTCCGCAGGGTTCTTAGAGCTCGTAAGGATTCAGAGTTCCCGGAGTATGCAGGACGGTTTTGGAATGAATCCGTCACAGATAGTGGCTAAAAGCGTTATTCCCAAAGCAGTGCTTGCACTCAAGGGCTCTTATTTCTGGTATGAAGAACTGGGGGGAAGTTGTTGGTCTGACGTTTATGCTGCCTCCGTCGCCGCCCCGTCGCCGACGCGTCGCCGCCAGTCGTCTGGGGGTGTCTGTCGGTTTGGCCGTCGCCGCCCGTCGTCTGGGCTTGTCTGGCGGTCTGGTAGGCTATGTTGCCGGTGTCGCGGTACCGTCGCCGCTGCATCGCCGCTTCGCCGCCGCCACACATGTTGCTCCGCATAGATTGGTTGTCCTGTCTAAACAAATAGCAGGCTCTACCCCCCCTGGATTTAGCCGCGCAACTCAGCAATCTACATGATTATGCCCCATCGTCCGTCCTGAACATGACGTCATATAACCCCAGCCAAACTAGAAACGGCCCCCTCTCACCCTTTGCATACATCAGATATGTGGGCTCACTCGTTTATAATGGATCATAAGTTTTCAAGAGCCCCTTGCAACAAATGGGACGAAATGCACACACGCTCGTCGTCGCGCGCGCATGCCGAAATCATTTAAAACGCTAGGTTCAACGGGTTACAACGTCGAGAGTCCCGAAACATATGCAAACATCTTGTTTAGCAACAAGGTTTCCCAACAACGCGTCCGCCGTTGTGCACACAGGCGTCGTCGTGGACGTCGTCGCCGCCGTCGCGGTGGTCATCACCGTGGTCGTCGCAGTGGTCGTCGTCCTCGTCCTCGTCGTCGTCGTCGGCGTCGTTTGCCGGCGTCGTCGTCGTCGTCGTCGTCATCGTGCCGAGGGCCTCGCCGCCCCGCCGCCCCTCCGCGGCGAGAGGCCGGCGGCGCGCCTCGTCGCGCTGCTGAGCCTCGGGGCCCACGCCGCGAGCGCGGCGGCGCGCCTGCGCGCGGCGGACGTAGCGGCGTTCGAGGCGCGCCGCCGCTCGCGGTGGGGGGGGCATCGGAGGGGGAGGAGGGGAAACGCGGAGGAGGAGGGGGGTAGGAGGAGGAGGAGGAGGAGGAGGAGGAGGAGGAGGAGGAGGAGGAGGAGGAGGAGGAGGAGGAGGAGGCTCGGAGGGGAGGGGGAGGGGGAGGGGGAGAGAGGAGGAGGAGGGGAACCAGGAGGAGGAGGAGGAGGAAGAGGAGGAGGGGAGGAGGAGGAGGAGGGGGCGGATAGAGGAGGAGGGGGAGAGGAGGAGGAGGGCCCAGCTACCGCCGCCGCACTCGGGCATCGAAGGGCGTCCTCTGCGCCGCCCCCTCGCCAGACCTCCGACGCATCGGAGAGCTACGGTCGGAAACTGATGGTAGGCGTGTCGATCCGGCGGTTCTGGCCCATCACGCTTCGGCGCGATACGCCATCCGCTTCCCGGCACCCAGGCGTCTACGTCCCGAGCGTTTCCAATCGTCCCGCCCGACGGAACGGAGTGGCACGCTGTCCGGCTGTCCGTGCAAGGCGCGTCTCCGGGGACGCCGCCGCGACACGGTAAGCACTAGTTCTTAACCATACCCTCGCGAATCACCCTGATATCAAGGGCAGAAAAAACGCCCCTACCCTGGTTTACGGGGCGCTGTGCGCTGAAACTCCTGTGGGCCGACAGGCCAAACCCTGCGTGATGTGCCGCGTCCTGGCGGCTCTAGGCTTTGGGGGTTCCCAGGAGGTTTACAGACCACGCACTTTCATCCCTCAATGATAGCAGCAAAGGTGAAGGGGCGGGTCGAGGAGGAAGCTTTGAGAGAGAGAAAGGATGCAGTCGGGGCATGGTGAGAGCACGACCGTGGACACCTTTGCTTGTGTACTTTACCAGGAACCGTGGCCGTCCAGAGCAAACATGTAGCGGGCATTGGGGTGAGAGCACGATTCCGCAGGCTTACGCCACATCCGCCGACCCCTTTGATTTCGTCGGGGGCTTATAATATCGAAGGGCCGTCGGCCCGTCCCGCCATCGCGCCTGGGTTTTGGGTCAGAGTCCTCGGGGGCCTTCTTGGGATCCAGAGCGCTCTCGAGGGCCTGTGTGTGAGGGGGGCAGTTTTGGGGGCCGCTTGGGAACTCCTTCGGGATGGAGAGGCTCCTGGGTGCTCTTGGGGCGACTCCTGAGCACGGGAGCTGTTAGGACTTCTCAGGCCACGCGGCCGGGCGCACCAGCTGCCGGACTGGCTGCCGCACCCGGGGCGTGCCTCGGGCTCCCCCCGCCCTCCTGTGTGAGACTCCTACGCGGTCCTCCTGCGCGGGCGACCCATAGTGGAGGATGACGATTGATAAATGACCGGGGGTCGTGTTCACGCGGCGGCGCCCGGGATGACGATTAGAAACACCGTCCGCGGGCTGGAACACTATGTTTTAAATCGTTCTTTTCCAGTCATAAAATTGTGCAGAAATAGCAGAAAGCTATGTGCTAATCGTTCTTTCCCCTTTTTATTAATCGTCATCCCGCATTACCATAAGGATGCGCGGCAAGGATGCAGGGGCCTGAAGGCCGTGTCGAGGCTTGTAGAGCGGGGCGCGGCCAACGAAAGTGGCCAAGGATGGGCCGAAGAGGCAAGGATGCAAGGGTAGCCTCGGGAAGGTTGCCCATTCTTACGATGCGGGTTGACTGTACTTCCTGTAAAACCCTCTGGCAAAACGCTATTCGAACACACCTGACGGAGGCTGCGCCTTGCTTTAAGCGTCTAGGCGTCCTCCCCAGGCCCCTGGACCGTGAACAAAAATGGTTCGGGAAATTGAACCAACATTCTCCCGCTTTCTCTTGCCGACGCGGCTGTAGGCGCATGGCTTCTGGACCAAAAAGATGTCCACAGCACAGCAGATTCAGTGATGTTGTGGAAAGCCGACCCTGGGAAAAAGGGTCGGCGCTTGAGGCGCGCTCTTCTTGGAGGGCATCGGAGAGCCTCGCCTCCTCCTCTCAACCTCCCCCCCCCTCCCCAGACCACCTCGTGCCGTGCACGAGTCATGGCGTAAGGTGGTTGGCAATGTTTTGCTTCTGGGCGCCCTCGCCGAGTCCCGGGGACCCTCGACAAATTCTAGACGACGCTTCGCGTAACCCCACCGTGTAGTTCCCTGGCAGCTGCAGCCTGCACCCCCCTCGCGCCGGCCCGCCCGCCGAGGCGCTGCCTGACAAGTAATTCGGCTCTTGCGCGGCCCGCTCGGACCTGACTCGCCGCTGGCGCTCTCGCCTGCGGTTGCGACAAAAAGTAACCCTACCGTGTGCCTGGCGTGCACTTTCTTCCCTCCCCTCCTGCATCCTAATGCTGCAGCGGTTAGCTGCCACACCGGGGTGCCTACCGTGCCTGGCGTGCACTTCCCCTCCTCTCCTCCTGCACCCTTATGCCACAGTGGCCAGCTGTTGCACCGGGGTGCTTTCCCTCCTGTTTCACAGGGTTATTCCCTGGCGGCTGGGGTTTGTTGCCCAATACTGCTTCCTGATGGCGTTCAGGTGGTCTGGATTTCATGCAAGGATTCACACAGGGAATGGTGCTGCGTCGCATTCGCTGAGGTCAGGTGCCCCCTGGCCTGCTCCTGGCTGGTGTCGGCCCCTACTGATGACCGGAAGGTTCCAGTGAGTCGCTCACTACATTGCCTACCTTATGGTACCTGGACCTCGGGTTCGGCAAATGTGGCTCTGTACGCTCGTTGGCCGACGTTCTCCTGCATGGACTTCGCTTTCGACAAATGCTACAGGTTTTACTGCCGTTTGCAGTCTTGTCGGTGATGAGGACGGCGTTCCCCCCGACTCACACCGAGCGATCGACCTCTGCGTGTTTATGGTCGCGCCGCCGCGCCATTTTGGCTGCGCTTACTTGCTGGTCGCCACCGGGTTTGGGAGTATCGGTTCCGACTCTCCTTTTGAGTGGCTGCCCGCTCGCTCGCTTCGCTTGCCTTTCTTCTCCTGCTGCCTAGTCGCGGCCCGACTAGTGTTTGGACGGCTTTCGACCCGCCTCGCGAGCCTGTTGACCAAAGAGTAACCCCACCAGCCCATCCAGAAACGATGCCAAGAGGAATTGCCTCGATCAGGGAAGTGGGCAGCACACAGAGGAAGGGTCCCCAAATGGAGGCCTTCTGGAGCGTCTTGGGTGCCTCGGAGAGCTTCTTGGGGCCTCTTGGGGGCTTCTTGGGAACATCTTGGAGGCCTCTTGGGCGCCTGTTTGGGCCTCCTGGGCGCCGTTTGGGGCCCTTTTGAAACGCTCTTGGGAGCCTTGGGGGCGTTCTTGGGGCCATCTTGGGGGACATCGATCAGACAAGAAGCGAGCATTAGTTAGCGCTGCCCCTCGGGAGCCCCAACAATCGCCTCTTGGGGCGCTTTTTGAGCGCTCTTAGGCGCTCTTGGGGCCGTCTTGGGGCTTTCTGGAGCCTTTTTCTCGAAGCCCTCTTGGCCCATCTTGGAGCCATCTTGAGGCCTCGGATGGCCATCGGAAGCGAAAAGGCGAGAAAACCAAACACATTGATTTTCCTCAGGTTAGGTGTTGACCTCTTCGGGGCCTCCTGGGGAAGCTCTTTGGCCATTGGGAGCCGTCTTAAGACGGTCTTGGGGCATCTTGGAGCATCGTGGAAACCATTCTGAAACATCTTGGAATATGTTGAGCCATCTTGGAGGTCATTTTGGGCTCTCCCAGGCGCTCTTGGAGTCATCTTAATCATGCCCCCCCCCAAGAGGCCAACATGTGGCTAAAACCTTAGTGCAATCAATGATGTTGCATTCTCGCCGAGGCCTCTTGGAGCATCTTGGGTGCCTCTGGGGGGTCTCTTGGGGCCTCTTGGGGGTCTTCGGGGGACCTCTTAGGGGGGCATCCTGGGGGCCTCTTGGGGCTTCCTGGCCACCTCTTGGGGCCCTCTTTGGGCACCCTTGGGAGATTTGGGGCGCATCTTTGGGCCATCTTGGGTGAAATCGATCACAGGAGGGGGGACTAATTACAGTCCCCCCCTTCAGGAGACCAGAATGGGCCAAAACCTTAGTACAACCAGTGATTTTGGTTTCCTCGCCGAGGCCGTTTTGGACGCTCCGACACCTCGAGAAACCCTTTGTCCAGGTCCAGGGGAGTGGTAGGGGGAGGGGTAAACCTTTCCCCGAAGGGGAAGAAGGAGGGGTGGAAGAGGAAACTCCCTAAACCACCGACGCCCAGAGGGTTGGTGCGATTAGACGGATCGAAAAAAACAGGTCTTGGGGAAGGGGTCGGGGCAGTTTCGTGCCGCATTGAAAAGTCAATGCTTCGAATGCCTGCGTCCTCCTCGAATGCCCAGGACTCCTGGGTCCACAAGGAAGCTGTTGCCAATATCGCGGCGGTTTTCAAACTTACCCCTTGTAGGAAGGGTCGGAAGCTCTGGAGCCGCGTATTGAAAAACCACATCGGAGGATAACTGGGACCTCCTCCACGTCCTCGCTGCCGCTTCTCCGCCTCCTCCTTCCCCTCCTCCTCCTCCTCCTCCTCCTCCTCCTCCTCCTCCTCCTCTTCCTGCTCTCCCCCGTCTCTTCCTTCCCCCCTCACTCCCTCTTTACCGCCTCACCGTCTCCTCCTCACAACCTCCTCCGCCTCCTCTCTCCACATCCTCTCGACACGACGTCGACGACGACGTCGACTACGACGACGACGTCGGCGATGACGCCCGTGACCTATGTCGGCGTCAAGAGGCGGTCTCTGGAGGTCTCCAGATGTTTGCCTACGGAGTTCTCCGGGAGGTTTCCGCGCTGGCCTCGGGGAGGTCCTAGGAGGTCCTCATAAGGTCTTCAGAGCAGGCCGCCAGGAGGTCTCTTCGATGCCCGTTCATGCAAGCCTCAAGTCGGGCATGTCCATCTACAGGAGGAGTATCCAAAAATAGTCAAACAATCATCAGGGGACGATGTTTGAGCATTGTTTGATTCTTTGTTTTTTACGATGTTAGCATTCGTCTCCCAGAATCCGCCTGTAGAAGGACATGCCCGACCTAATGCGAGCCTTGGTCGGCGACGCTGAAAGCAGCTGTTCCTGCGTGTGGGCCGCCCGTGGATCGCATCTGGCCCTCCCTCCTGCCCCTCCCTGGTCCTTCCTGTTTCTCCCCCTCCTCGCTCTTCTCGCCTCCTCCGTGGAAGGGGCGGATCCGATCCACGTCAGGCCCAAATCGGCCGGCGCCAGGGGCCACGCCGTCTCCCACGGAACAGACCGCCGAGGGCCCCCGGAGGTCTCCACCAGTGCCCAGAAGCTCCCGGGGAGGCCGGCGGAGGCCCCTGGACGCTCGAGAGCCACGATCTTCGAGCCTGACGCAGCGTTCGAAAGGCCACGGTCCTCGAGCACGGGAGATGCCCCCAGAGCGTTCGAGATGCCCCGTACACCGCAAACTCCAAACGAGGACTCCCGACGCGTCAAAAGCGCGCCGCAAAGAGCAAAGCCAGAACAATATCGGTCAGAGTCTGTCCTGCGAGCGTGGCCGATGTTCGGGCCACCGGCTCGGTGGCGGGAGCCCCCCGCTGTAAGGGAGCAGCCCCCCATCCTCAATCGTGATCCACGATCCTCGAGAAGCGTTCGAGACGCCACGATCCTCGAGCTTCGGCGAGACGCCTGACAGCAAGGGTCCCGGGCGCCCCACGGGGGGCTCGAGCGCCACGGCCCTCGAGAGCGGGGGAGGCCTCGGAGCGTTCGAGCGCCACGGTCCTGGGGTCCCACGGAGCGCTCGAGAGCCGCGATCCTGCAAGGCGGGGAGGAGGACGAGAAGGAGGAGGAGGAGGAGGAGGAGGAGGAGAAGGAGTAAGAGGAGGAGGAGGAGGAGGAGGAGGAGGAGGAGGAGGAGAGGAGGAGGAGGAGGAGGAGGAAGGAGGAGAGTAAGAGGAGAAGAGTAAGAGGAGGAGGAGGAGGAGGAGGAGGAGGAGGAGGAGGAGGAGGAGGGGGAGGAGGAGGAGGAGGAGGGAGGAGGAGGAGGAAGGAGTAGAGGAGAGGAGTAAGAGGAGGAGGAGGAGGAGGAGGAGGAGGAAGTGGAGGAGGAGGAGAGTGGCGAGGATGATGTTGCTGCTGATGATGCTGATGATGCTGCTGATGATGATGATGATGATGATGATGATGATGATGATGATGATGATGATGATGATGATGATGATGATGATGATGATGATGATGATGATGATGATGATGATGATGATGATGATGATGATGATGATGATGATGATGATGATGATGATGATGATGATGATGATGATGATGATGATGATGATGATGATGATGATGGTGGTGGTGGTGGTGGTGATGATGATGATGATGATGATGATGATGATGACGAGGAGGAGGAGGAGGAAGAGGAGGAGGAGGAGGCAAGAGGCAGAAGGCCCATACAAGCGTCCGAGACACGCGATCTCCTCGGAACACCCTCGCGCGGGCCGCCGTGCGCGGCGGTGGACGCGCCGCAGGCGTGGCTCGAGAGGTTCTCGCCCTACGCGCCGGCGCCTCGGCTTCGCCCCCACGCGCGCGCCGAGCGCGCCAACTTTTGGTAGGTGGATCTCTCAAGTTCTCCGCCGCCTCTGGCGGTGTGCGTTGCGAGCAGGAGCACAGCAAAGCCGCAGGAAAGCGCGGCATTGACAGTGTAGCTCCGCACACGTTTGCAAATGTTAACGAGCAGGAACACAGCAAAGCCCCGTCGTCACCGTCGTCGCAGCCGCTGTCGTCACCATCTCTGCCGTCGCTTTCGCCGCTGTCGCCGCGTCTGGCGGTCGCCGCGTTCGCTGCTTTCGCCGCTGTCGCCGTCGCTGTCGCCAACGACAATCTGCAGAGCGGGCGGCATTTGTCTGATTTCGGCCTCCCAGGGCCCTCGCCGGGCCTCGAGAGCGTCCAAAAACGACTCGGGGCGAGAAGCTGGCCCTCAGGAAGTGGTCCAGACCTCCGGGGCCCGCGCGTCGGTGTTCGCTGCGGTCGTCGGAGCGCTCCAGACCTCCGGGGCCCACGCAATTGGAGCAGCTGGAGGTCTGGCAGGGCTGGACCTAAACGGTGTGTTGGCGATTTCGTGGGCCGTTTTTGTTTCGATTTCGTTTTGCGGTAAAGGCTGATTGAAGACAAAACAAAAAACAATAGCAAAACGAACACGAAAAACACCGTTTAGGTTCAGCCTTGAGGTCTGGGTCACCATCTCCGCGGTTGCATTTGCCGCGGTCATCGTCTCCGTCGTCGTCGTCGTCGTCGCCGCCGCCGTCGTCGTCGTCGTCGCCGCCGTCATCGTCTGCGGCGCCCTCGCCGTCGCCATCGTCGTCGTCGAGCGCTCGCTTCTGGAGCACACTCGTGGCTGATCTCTCGAGT